CCCCCTCCCGCTGCTGCGCTCCCCCTCCCGCTGCTGCGCTCCCCCTCCCGCTGCTGCGCTCCCCCTCCCGCTGCTGCGCTCCTCCTCCCGCTGCTGCGCTCCTCCTCCCGCTGCTGCGCTAGCTCTCCCGCCGCTGCCCTGCCCTCCCCCTTCCACTGCTGCCCTTCCCCTCCCGCTGCTGCGCTTCGCCTCTCGCTGATGCGCTCCGTCTCTCGCTGATGCGCTCCTCTCTGCCCCCGCGGCATGGCTCCTCCAGCTGCGATGCCCCGCTCACTGCACTGGCCTTCCCGCTGCTCCGCCTCTGTCGTGGAGCTGCCTCTCCTGCGGATCCTGTTCTTTCCCTTACAATTCCTCTCCCGTCCCGCTATGTCCTTGGTGCCTGCCTTCTGTTTGCCTTGACTAGAGCTGAGCTCGTCAGCTCTTGCCGTCGCTGCTTCGCTTCTCAGCTCTGCTCTCTCCTGCAGCACTCTTTCGTCGCTTACCCGTTCTGGTCTCCTCCACTGCCTACTCTGTATCGCTAGCCGCGTCTCGCCTCTGGGTATGGCCTTCTTCCGCTCCTGGTCCGCTTTTATTCTTCTCCGCCTCGCCGCTCTTTCCTCCTACTGTGTCCCATCTCCTGCAATTGTCCATCTGGCTCTTGCTACTTGTTATTTGGAAGGATTCTGCCATTCGGTCCCGTGATCGTCATGTGCTTCACCGCTTCCCCTGCGCGATGGACACGCTACTCCTGACGTCCACGTGCTTTATAGACATGCCCCCGCGTGATTTGCTCCTCTCGCTCCTGGCAATGCGCTGCTAGGCCTCCTTTCCCCTCGGCTTCTTTTCGTGCGCGCCACCTCTTGCTACTCGTCTTGTTTCCCTAATCGTAAAACCTATTCACCTCCGTTCCTCGACAACATCGTTAGACTGATCGCCAGAGAAGTGCCTCGCGTCTCACCTTATGAAGCTCAACCTTTGTTTCATCACTTTCCTTCTCCTCATATTTCTGTTTATCCCCTTGTCTCGCCTTATCAAAGCCTTGTTTCTGTTTGCCTCTGATCCCTTAATGTAATGATCTCTCCAATCTCCTTCTCCTCCGACTGCTCTTTCCTCTTCCTCTTTCTCCTCTTTCTCCTCTTTCTCCTCTTTCTCCTCTTTCTCCTCCTCTCTTGTAGGATCTGATCCGTTCTGGAACGATTTGTTGAATCGCCGCCTCTTCCTTCTCTTCCTCCTTTTCGTCTGCCTGCCCTCGTCCTCCTCCCTCTTCCCTCTCCTTTTCCTCCTCACCCTCCTGTAGCCTCTGATTCCCTCGAACCTCTCTCCTCCTCCTCCTCCTCCTCCTCCTCCTCTCTTTCTCCTTTTTCTCCTCTTCCTCCTTCCTATCCACTTCGACTCTTCTTCCTCATCGTCCTCTTCTCCCTCCTTCTGTACCTGCCAACTACAACGGCGAGTAATGCCAATTATGCGATTATAAATCCCTGATTGTTTCTCTATTTTTTTCTGATTTTCACAACGCACTATAATCGAATTTATGTTGACCGTCTCACTCGCGAGTTTTCCTTTGTGACTGGCTCCCCTTGTGGTCCCACGGGTACCGGCGTGTGGGATTGTCTACTTGATCATTCGATCATTCATCTTACTTCCTGTATTGAATGCATGCTGTGAAAATGTATAACCTTTTTCCGATTCCAAATCTGCCAGCTGAGTGACTGCGAGGGTACCTGAATGCCAGGATCCGTCTGCTCTCCTCTCTCCCCGAACACAAAACTTGAATGTCACAGTTATACAATTGTCTGTACTTACAGGGTTCCCCTCGATCTCGTCATCTGCTGGTAGGTAATCGACGATTTTATTTTTTTTGTTGTTCTTTTGGATCGACGATAAGCGATGGTTAAAAAGCAGAAGAATGTAAATTGTGTAGGAAGAAGCGGAAGCAGATTGTCTAGAAATCAGCCGAAGCAGATTGTCTAGAGATCAGCAGAAGTAAATTGTATAGAAATCAGCAGAATTATATAGTAAGTTGTCTAGAAATCAACAGGATTTAAATTGCACTCTCTAGACATCAACAGGGTTTGAGTTGCACTCTAGAAATCAACAGGATTTGAGTTGCACTCTAGAAATCAACAGGATTTGAGTTGCACTCTAGAAATCAACAGGATTTGAGTTGCAC